CTCCGACTCAGGGGCGCGCATGCGCACGCCCGCCCTGCTCCCGCGCCGGCGCCGCGGGCGGCAGACCGAAAGGCGGTGGGAGTTCCTTACAAACACTTGGCCAGTTCGTAAGCATCCAAACCGTGTGTGAGCTAGTCTTCCCTCTGCAGTGAACACTTGCCTCTCCACGAAGGTAAAATTTTAGACTTCCCCCCGACCCCTCAGAAAACCCAAACCAGAAGCCGTCCGTGGGCAGGTCTCCAGTCCTGGTTAAGCCTGTAACACCAAACGGCTTAAACGTTTTGAATTTTCTGAAAGTAGTTCTCACAGAGACGCTCCAGCTACTGGAAATGTCTCCCCACAAACAGGGGCTTGAAGACATCAAGTTCTGTAATGGACAGTTAAAAATTTGAAATGTTTTTGGTAAATTCATTTTTGTCAGTCATTTTGAGTATGAATTCAGGCGTCCTAAAAACTTGTAAAGGGGGTTTTACAACTGATGTAGGCTCAAGCTTGACCCCTGACCCTGTCTTACAAATTAAGGTCATTTGGGATGGATTTGGGTTTTCCCCGTTCAGCAGTGTGTTTGGTTCACAGCCGTCTTCAGAAGTGAGGTACAGTCTTCCCCCCTTTAGCTGTGGCTTCTGAGGTTTCAGTGACCCAAGGTCAACCGTGGTCTGGAAAGTTCCAGAAGTAAACAACTCATGCTTTAAATTGCACGCCGTTCTGAGCGGGGTGATGAGAACTCAGGCCAGCCGGCCCCAGCCCACCCAGGAGGTGAATCATCCATTTGTCCAGCATACCCCCTGCCTGCTGGTCACTTAGTAGCCATTGTGGTGACCAGGTCCGCTGTGAAAGTATCGCAGTGCTTGTGTTCAGGTGGCCCTGTCTACTCAGTAACAGCCCCAGGGAGCAGGGGCTGTGACGCCGGCGAGTCAGATAAACCAAAGGGAAGCCAGGAAGCCCTCCCTTTAGGGAGAGGGCGCAAATTCTACACTAAATAAGGAAAGAAAAAAAATCGGATGCTGAATTTGCTAAGATCTGCGGTAAGAACAAACCTTCTATCTGTGGAATCGTGAGGAAGGAGAAAAATTCTTGCTACTTTTGCTGTCACACCTAAAACCGCAAAAGTTACAGCTGTGGTACGATGAGTTCTTGGTTAAGGTGGAAAAGCATTAAACGGGTACAACAAAATATTCTGAGAGAGGAGGAAAGAGACCCCATTCACATGACTTCTGTGACAGGGTATTTTTATAATTGTTCCATTTTATTATTCGTTGTTGTTATTAACTTCTTCACATGCCAAATGTACAAATTAAGCTTTGCCATGGCTATGTATGTACAGGAAAAAATGCACCATATATCGGGTTTGGTACTACCTATGGTCTCAGGCATCCACTGGGGTCTTAGAAGGCATCCTCTGCAGTGAGGAAGGCAGCTGTGAATGTATATACACTCAGGTTGTTTAGTGTCTTGACCTAAAATTGGGCCTTTTCTCTGCGACAGCGTCAGTGTTTCTGCTTCTGAACTGACCGCCGAGTCCCCCTCTCTTGGGAGCCTACTTTGCTCCCGGAAAGCCCTGCTTCTGTGCTGTCCCCGGGAAGCCGCCTGCTGAGGCCCTGCCCCTCAGCCCGGGACTCGGCGTTTTATTCGGTGTGGTACTTCCGTAACTGCGTAGCATACCTGCTAGTTCTTTTGCTGATGAGAAGATGTGGCCCCGGGGCTTCTGTGGCCTTTCGCCTCTAACCTCCCAAACACCTGACTCCCATGTGGCAGAGACACGGAGGGCAAGCACTCCAGAGGCCCTTAGCCACAGATGTGGGTGAGCTTCCCAGGGGTTGGGGGGTGCAGCCCGGCCCCCAGGCCCCTCAGTGGCCCACCAGTGGCTTAGGTGTCCCACCCAGGTGACCCCTTTCTCCCCCCGCCACCTACAGGGTGACCACATCAGCCCCAGGGCTTGGCTCAGACCCTCTGCCCACCTCTCACCTGCCCCTTCGGGCTGCACTGAGCCAACATCCTCCTTCCTCAGACACTGAGCTTCCCCCTCGGCCCAGACCCCTTCTTGGCCCTGACTTTGTCCCAGGCAGGGTCTCATCCCACCCTTGACCCAGACAGTGTGGGAGTGTTGCCTTTTCCGCTAGGGTGAGGTACCCTGGATGCTTTGCCCAAGAGGGACCTTGGTACCCACTTGCTAGCTGACCGGTTAGTTGGAGACACAGTGGGCCAAATGAGTCATGGAAGAAACTGGGGCTTTAGACCAGCGATGCGTCTGGGGCCAGGAGACACGGGGAAGGGGCGGGCTTGTCCCCACTTGTGCGTGCTCTCGGGTTGTGACACGCTCCGGGGAGGACACTGTGACCAGGAGTGCTGTCTGGTGCATCTTCTGCTGCAGCTTCTCATGCGATGCTCCTGGGAGGTGGCAGCCCTGCTGGAGGGGGGCCTGGAGGCCTGGAGCTGGTGCGGGGCTGCCTGGGAGCCCGTCCCGTCTCCTGCTTCAGAGAAGCAGCTGAACGAGAGGCAGCAGGGGCAGTGGGGACGCCGAGGCAGAACTTACGGAGTTGGTTCCACTTTGTGGGAGCCGCAGATGCACTTGACTTGACCTGGTGGCGTCTGGCCCAAGTTGGGGTGGGGAGACCTGGGAGTACCACCCAATCTGGGGAGCATCGGGCACTCCACTGCAGAATCCCGCAGCCTGCGCTGCCTTCCCCCAGAGGAAGAGCTGGGGCGGCGCAGTCGGGTGACCGGCCTGCCAAGGTAGGAGAGCGGGTGGGGATGCCGGACCGGCGAGGGCACCAGCTGTGGCTCCTACACGCACCTTCCCAGAAGCCGCTCAGCCAGGCCCTGGGAACCAGTGAAAGCCACCTCCCCGCTGACCCCGAAGCCAGAGCTGCCGACCGGCCCGAGTGTCAGTGACCCCCCTGAATGTCACTAACCAGTGTTGTCAGCCAGTCTGAGAGTAGCTGACCAGTGTTGTTAACCAGCCTGAGTGTGGCTAACCAGTGTTGCTGACCAGCCTGAGTGTGGCTAGCCAGTGTTGCTGACCAGCCTGAGTGTGGCTAGCCAGTGTTGCTGACCAGCCTGAGTGTGGCTAGCCATTTCTGTTAACCAGCCTGAGTGTGGCCAACCAGTGTTGCTGACCAGCCTGGGTGTGGCTAACCAGTGCTTTTAACCAGGCTGAGTGTGGCTAACAAGTGATTTTAACCAGCTGCTGACCAGCGTGGCCCTGAGCAGGGTTGGGGGATATGAGAAGTGTGGGTGGCCGCCTCGGGGCAGACCCTGGCTGGTCAGAGGGGGTTTGGCTGGGATCTGTCAGCTGCTCTGAGCTTCGCCTTTCAGCCTGCATTGTCCCCATCACGGGGGCAGAGGGGAGACCCTCCCCCACTGCACCCTCCAGCCCCCCACAGGCTCCCCTCCTGGACCCCCCAGCCCCCCAGCCGTGTCGCTCCTCCCAGAAGCCACCTTCAGGGCGCGGCCGCCTGCCCCCCTGGGCCCGTGCTCTGGGTATGTGTGCTGGGTGGCGGGGGGTCTGGATGTTTGCAGAGATGACTCCTGGTCGAGGCATGGCCAGGGGCACTTTGTGGGTTATTGAAAATGTGGGTGAGTGTGGCTGTGAACCTCCTGCAAGGGTAGCTGAGAGCGGAGGGAAGTGGTCCTCTGCTGGTGGGACAGGGCTGAGGGCCAAACCCTGAGGGGCACACAGACTGGGACATTCGGGTTTAAACCAGGGCCTCCAGCATCCATGGTGCACTCTCCAATCAGTGGCAAGAAATTTTAAGCGTGTACACCCCAAAATGCATACATTTATTTATTTATGAGTTCCTCACATGGCCTCTCGTACCCCTCGAGCACGCACAGTTTAAAACACACCCGCGTGTTACCCAAAATAAAAGTGAGGGACACGAACCCGCATGAACTCTAGTAGTCCCTCCTCTGTGCCCCCCGCGCTGCCCTGGGTGGAGACCCTGCACTGGGTCACGGACGTCAGGCAGTTGTCACGTGACACCTGCTGCTGTTTAAAAACTGGTGGAAGACATCCAGCGTGCAGTGTGCCCGTCTCACCGCTGGGGCATGCAGCTCAGCAGCATTAAGGACACTCGCGTTCTTGGGCAACCGTCACCACCGTCCACCGCCAGGACTTTCTCACCCTGCAGACCTGAAATGCTGTACCCATTAAGTACCCACGCCCCACAGTTCCCCTCCAGCCTCCGGTACCGCCGTTCTCCTGTCCGTGAGTTCTGTCCCAGGCCCCTCCTGTAAGTGGAAGCGCACAGTATTTGACGGGCTTCTTTCGCTGAGCATGACGCGGTACAGCCTGTGTCAGCACTTCTGTCCTTTCTAAAGCTGAATGCTAGTCCCTTGTGTGGACGGACCACATTTTGCTGGTCCATCATCTGTTGATGGGCACCTGGGCTGCTTGCACCTGTTGGCTGTCGTGGACGTGGGTGTGCGAGTGTCTGTCATTCCCTGCTTTCAGTTCTCGGGGCACTCACCCAGAAGTGGGGTCGCAGGGGCAGACCGTGGCTCCGTGTTTGACCTTTTAAGGAACCGCCTCCTGTTTTCCACAGAGCATCTGTTGATTTCAGGAGGCACTGGCTCAGGTAGAAAGCGGGTGTCCGGCCCCCATCCTCACTCTATGCTCACCTTGCAGAGGGCCCCACGGTGAGACCAGCCGGTCGCAAGGCCACCCCACAGACGACACGCCCGCGGCCCAGCGCCCAGACTGAGGCCCCTTTCAGGAGGCGGAAGAGGCACCCCGACGAGCCTGGCCAGTTCGCTGTCGCCCTGGTCATCGTCTACCGGACCCTGGGGCAGCTCCTGCCGGAGCACTATGACCCCGACCGCCGCAGCCTCAGGTAAGGCTGGTTCCAGGAGCACAGGGGGTGGGGGAGTAGGGGATTTCCAGAGGGTTCTGAGCTTCCATGAGTCACAATCTCCACCACTGCAACATCTGGATAAGGACACTAGATAGTGACCCTGGCCCAAGGCCAGGCATCTCTGCCGTGTGATGTCCCTTGGACAGAGGTTCTGGGTCTGCCAGACAGGCACCGTTCCTGGTGTTTCTGCGAGGAGCGCCCCTCCCCAGCACAGGCCCCGGGCTCAGCAGCGTAACTCCTGCTGGGAGGGCCTCCTCGCACACCCGGCTGCCTCCGACCCCTGTGGGCCCAGCCCTGAGGCAGCGCAGTAAGTACCAGCTGGAGAAGCAAAAGCCGCCCAAGGGCCTCAGGGCCGGCGCCCCGGAGGCCTCACTTTTTCAACCTTAACATCACCTTCCAGATACTGCCCTGGCCTGAGGTCTTCATCCATCCTCCCTGGTGACTGAGCCGTAATCCTTCCACCCATGTCCTTTGATCAGAAGTCTCCGACAGTCCCAGTGTTCTGCTGTTGCTAATATGTCAGGGGCCCCAACACCCTGTCTTCGTTTCTAAATTTCCCAAGTCCACCTTTGTCCCTGTGCTCGCCCATCAGTGACAGAGCCCTCACCAAGCTCGCCGCCGCCCCAGCCGCACCTTCTCCAGAGGCCGCCGCTCCGAGCTGGTGTCCTTCATTCGGCCCCCCCCGGAGAGACCCCCTGTCCCGTGTCCTCGCCAGGTTTGCACCCGGGGCTGCCCTGTGCTCTGGCTTTTCCCCCGCAGACTGCCTAACCGGCCCGTCATTAACACGCCGGTGGTGAGCGCGGTGGTGTACAGCGAGGGGGCCCCGCTGCCCAGCCCCCTGCAGCGGCCCGTCCTGGTGGAGCACACCCTCCTGGAGGCCGAGGAGCGCACCAAGCCCGTCTGTGTGTTCTGGAACCACTCCATCACGTAAGGGTGACGCCGGGGCCGGGGCTCCACCTCCGGCCCCATAGTTCTGTGTTTCTGGGGGCCAGGGCTTTGCTGAGGCCAGGTGTGCCCGCCCACAGGTCCCCAGTGCTGCACTGGCAGAGTGTCCTGGGGGTGTCAGAGTCTTTGATAAGCACATAGTTACACACACACATGCACCTACATGCACACCTGGAAACACAGACTTGCACGTTTGCACCTGCGCCCAGTTATGAACATGCACGTGTGTACACAAATGCACACGGACACACACCTAGAAACACATGCACAGGCACACACAGATCCCAGCACGGACTCCCGGGACGCAGCCGCACGCAAGCGCCCAGTCCACCAGCAAACACGGCAGGGGCTAGTTCTGGACACACGTGGGAGGCAGGACTCGGAGACTGGGCCCAGGGGTCCTTCTGCTGATGGAGGGAAATCCCAGCTTGGGAGGCGTGGTCCTGTCCCTGACCCCAGCCATCCCGCCCCGGAGACCAGCACGGCAGCTGCTGGCTCATTTTACCCTGCGAGGCTTTGCCCGCCTCCCCAGCACCCATCTCCCCCAACTCCCCAACCCCTGCGTGAACCAAGGCAGAGTTTCATGCATTTGGGAGTTCACTCCCGAGCAGCACGAAGATTCCCCCAAGTTGTGTTGCCACCCGACTGAGCGGGCGCTGCCACGGGCGCCGTCCTGGGCGCTCACACTGGGAAGCAGGTTTGGCTCAGCAGACACCACGCATCACTCTCCCTCCTTCTGTATTTTCTGAATTCGAATTAATGAGCAACCAGCATCATGCCTGGAGCGTAATAGACGCTTGGCTTACAAAAGAGAGAACGAGGGGCCCCCTTTCACGACCAGGGAAGTGTTGAGTCTGTCTGGCTTGCGTCGGGCTCGCTGTCTCTTGTGCTCGCCGGATTGAATCCTGGCAATTAGCCCATGCTCTAATTAACCCCCTCTGCTTTGTGCGGCACCTGCCACCCAGGTCTGCAGGTTCTTGGCCGTCATGTGTGAGCCCTCACATCCCATTTTACAGATGAGTCAACTAGGGATCAGGGAAGTTCGTTGCCTTTCCCAGCGTCAGGGAGGGCAGGGCCCTGTCTGAGGCCAACACACACCTGTAGCAGCCTGTCATTTGGGGCTTCCCATCAGGAAAGCGGGGTAATAATTGGGCCCTGCTTCCAGGCAGTGGCTATAAAACATTGTGCAATCCGAAGATGAAAGTGTCAGATGGACGTGAGGTGTTTCTTCTTAAATCATCCAGACTGAAAAGGAGACTAAAGTACAAAGTGGCTATTTTAACAACTGACTAATGTCTCCAACAAAAGAGGCGTGTGGTGGCCTCTGACATCCCATTTAAGTTTTACTGCTGGGTGACTCCTGAAAGGTGAACTTCAGAGGGTGCTTCTGAGAGGGCCCCACCAGCCTCAAAAGGGAAGAAAGGAGGTTCACACGGTCCCAGGGGAGCAGCCAGGCCGTGGTCCTCACAGTGGTGACAGTGGCACTTGCCTTGGGCCCAGTGAGGATGCTGTTGGCCCCTGGCACGGGTGGGAGAGTCCGGGAGACATAGGCCGTGGAGGGAACAGCCTCAACCCCTCTTCTCTGCAGCCTCGGTGGGACTGGAGGGTGGTCGGCCAAGGGCTGTGAGCTGCTGTCCCGAAACCGGACCCACGTCACCTGCCAGTGCAGCCACGCGACCAGCTCAGCCGTGCTGATGGACGTCTCCCGGCGCGAGGTGGGCGCAGCCCCCCAGGCACCCCTGCCCACCTGGCAGTTGTGTCCAGGAACTCCTCCCTCTGGAAACTTAGCCCATCCCCTAGACCAGCCCATCCCCTAGTCCTGCCCCTCGACCAGCTCTGTCTTTCCCTCCAAGCACTCTGAACAAACTGAATCCACAATGAAAAACTGGGTGGCAGGAGGACTGGCCAGAATCTGTTCTGATTTCCATAACAAAACCCCCTTCTGAGGGTTTTCAGAGAGGGCAGGTTGTAAATTAAAAACTGACGGCTGTTCCAAACCTCAGACTGAAAAGAAGCTCCTGGAGTTTACACCTGACCTCAGAGCGGGGTTCTCAGCAGTCTGTTAGCTGCTGCAGTTTCTTCCTCACTTGAAATTTTAAGGAAGAAAAGACATGGCTGGGAGGAGCTAAGGGAGCGCCTCCCTTCAGCGCCACGCACGCCGCTGGCCTGTAGGACGAGGGAGGCTTGGTCAGGAGGCACCGAGCAGCGGGGCGGCTAATGTTTAACCTCGAGCATCTTCAGCGCCTGGGAACGCAAGCTGGCCTCGGAGGGCCTCGGATGGGCTGGGCGGTGGGGCCCTGTGCAGGGCGAGGTCGGCCTGGGTGGGATCTGCTGCTGGGGGGGGGGGAGGCGTGTGCTGGTGTCTAGGAGCCAGACAGGGCCTGGGGACCTCACCCTATTTTCAAGCCTGGGACTTGTCACGGGCAGCCAGGCCATCTTCTTCCCAACCTCCCCCCACCCCAGGGGGTGCTCTCCACTAGGCAGTAGCCCAAGTTTCTGCCACATTAAGTTACTGCTAACGGATGTCAGGGTGACCAGTGCAGAGGGCGTGCCTTTGGGCACCCGAGACAGCAGAGCTCCCCGGGGCAGGGACACTTTTGAGCATGTAGCCCCAGGTCCCGGCCTGGAAGGGGTTAATCATTAGAAGTCTCTGTCCATAGAGGGGCAGGACTGGGGGGTCCTCCCATGTCCAGGAAGCCGGACAGCGCCAGGAACAGACTCACAGACAAAGGAAGCGGAAATTCAGGGGGAAG